CGGGGTTCCATGGTCAATGACGGTTAAAGTGATATTATAATCTGAAGTCTCTTCTCTGTCCAGGTTTCTAGTTGTTAATAGGTGATAGTAATTATCAACTGACTTCTCCAGTTTAAAAGGCAAGTTCCTAGGAATAAAGCATGCAATCTCACCATTTTCTCCAGAATCACCATCATGTACACTAAACAGCGCGATTACAGTTCCTGGAAGACAGTCTTCAGAGAGGGAACTGGTCAGAGAGGTGAGGATCACTTCGGGGGCATTGTCATTCACGTCCTGTACTGTGACCACCACCTTAGCGCTGGCAAGAAGAGCGCCTCCATCCTGAGCTACCACTTCCATGAGGTAGAATCTGGATTCTTCATAGTCCAGCGGTTGTAGAGTTGAGATTTCCCCCAGGTTGGAATCAAGATGGAAAGTCTCCGAAATTTTGTCTTCCTCATTGCGAAAAGAGTAGGTCAATTTCCCGTTTATTCCCTCATCTGGATCCGTGGCGGTTAGCGTGAGCAGCCGAGTGCCCACAGGTATGTTCTCCGGAACACTCACGCTGTACTCGGATGGCGTGAACAGGGGTGCATTGTCGTTTGCGTCGAGTACTGTAACACGAATGTGCGTGGTGCCGGAGAGTACCGGGTCTCCGCCATCTAAAGCTGTGAGGAGGAGGTCGTGAACAGTCTCTTTCTCGCGGTCTAGGGGCTGTTCCAACACCAGCTCCGGATACTTTTGTCCATCAGTTCCGCTTACCACATCCAGAGAGAAGTGCAGATTGGAGCTGAGCTGGTAACTCCGGAGGGAGTTCACACCCACATCTGCATCCCGCGCGAAGGGAAGCACTAAACGTGTCCCTGCAGCCGCATTTTCATTAACTTTTACTTTTAACTCCTCATCCCGGAAACGCGGAAAGTTATCATTAATATCGATTATTTCTACTTCTACTACATAAATTTTCATTTTGTTCTCAACTAAGATGTTAAAGTTCACCACACACAGCGGGCTCTGAGCGCAGAGCTCCTCCCGGTCTATCCTGCCCGCGGTGACCAAGCTGCCGCTTCGCGGGTTCAGAGCGAAAAGCTGCGTCCTACCTCTGGAGACGATGCGGACTCCGTGCTCCGCCAGCTCCTGGGGCTCCAGCCCAAGGTCCTTGGCGATGTTGCCGACGAAGGAGCCTTTGTCCAGCTCCTCCGGCATCGAGTAGCTGATCTGCCCGGATCCCGGTTGGCACAGCGTCCCCAGGAGCATGAAGGGCAGCAGCAGCTCTCCGCAGGCCCAGCGCCTCGGTGGACTCGCCATTGCCTTCTCTCTGCCCAATTTTCTCTTAGTTCTGGTTCAGCCTGCTGTTTCCTTATTTATCTAAAGCCGATGGGTACATATTCCCCGACGAAAATGGGCGTGGAGTGTTGGCTTTTCGTAGGAACTTGTCTGGTTCGTGTGTTTAGTATGGAGGGAGCAGAGTCGGGTCGCCTCTGCTGCAGCTCCTTTCCCACTTTGGTCAACAGCGACGCTCAGAGTCCTAACCAGTGACTGCACCAAATTCCATTTTTATTTCTCCTAAGTTTAGTTGTAATTTTATTTCTAATAATGTTGCCATATCCTTAATGTTTAACTGTGTAACATTGTCTATGACTGTTAATTCAGCTTTAATTCTGAAATAGCAAGACTTCCACAATTACTGAGATCAATATTATTAGATTCCAATACCTTACAAAAATTTTATTTAATGTGTCACTGGGGGAGCCTATGTCCTTTATTTACCTCTTACCTATGTTTAGTCCTTTAAATTAGGACATTCAAATTCTTACCTTTGTAGAATTCAAGATTTCATCTCTTTATTAGGATGCATTTAGGAAAACGTGCTTATTTGCACATAAGAATGCCAAGGAAACAAACCCAGTTCTCAATGCACCTTTCCAAACAGGACTACTGATTTATGTAAGTTATATTAGCTGTCATATGCAGAAGAAATACAGATCTTTATTACTTGTGAGGACTTTGAGAAAGTTTCTCCACTATCTCAGACAGTGTTAGAGTAGGGTTAACTATGCATTTTTACGTTTTTCTATTATCATGTTCAAATATTTGTAGTTCCAATGACAATCAGTATAGCAACTGTGGAGGGTGGGGTTTTATTTCATCATCTATGCAGGAAAGCATGACCAGATACTTATTGAGCAGTACTGAGTGGCCTTTCTATGTTGAGACAGTTATTTAGTGCTATCATCTTTATATGACAACAGAAATAGAAAAACCTCTTGATTGAAAAAAATGAACATTTCAGAAAGTCATTTTGTTTAATGACACTTTCATAGAAAACTAAGAAAATAAAAATTCTATATAATTAGGAAATTCAAAAGCAAAGATTTGAGTAATATTTGGTAGAAAATGATGTGAACATAGGTTGTAAGATTTTTCGCAATGTGTAATTTTTCTCAAGAGCAATTTGTTAAAATGCATGTTAGAGAATGATTTCTCACATTTGTTAAATGCACTCTTTATAGCAGACACCTCAGACCTCAAACATTGCCTATCCTTTAGAAATATGCTTGTGATTCCAAGACACTTAGCTTACCCAGCGTGGGTCTTCAAGTCAATGGGACAATGTCCTACCCATGCCCTGCAATTAACAAGCCATGCCATTATGTAAAAGTCTTTCATCTTTGGTTCCCAATTTCCAAAAACTACTAAAATGAAGACTCTCTTTACTCTGAAGTACTATGATGCTAAGAGGAAGTAAAACAAAAATTTGAATAACAAAGAGCCTGAAGGTGAAAGTAATTGCCTAAAGTCCCAATCGTAACAAATCTTCAGAGAGAAGCAAAGACGAGGAAGAAAAAGAAATACAGTGCAGTATCTCATGTGATAAAGGTTTGCAATTATTGCTAAATAAATCTCACACTTCAGAGAGAAAACACTTAAAATTAAGTTAAATAAGATTAAGATAATTAAGGCACAACATTTACCAAATCTAACTCACAGACAAAGAAATTGCAATGGAACTTCCTACCCAAATTAGGTGAAACAATAAAACCAGAAGTGAAAATAAATTAATTAAAGCTCACCTTTAAAATAGTATCTGAGGCAAAAGGGACCCCAGCGTCTGCATGATTTGTATTTTGTTCCCAAGAGGCATTGTCACAGAGGAGATCTTGTGAGGGAACCAATTCCGGGGTTACGTTCAGAAAATTAAACTTTGTCTTGGCTGATTGTGAGGCAACACACAGGTTGTAGGAAAAGGGCAATGTTCCCTCACTGTAATTGGGGAGAACCTCAGGTCCAGGCTTGGAGCACTGACTAGACTGAAAGCAGCCCCAAGCGTCTGAACTGGAAGAGCGTCGCAGGCGCAGGGAGATTGCCAGAATACATCTAGATGTGTATAAGAGACAGGGGTACAGGATCTCGGGCGCATTGTCGTTCTGGTCCAGCACAAACAGGCTCAGTGACACGTTGCTGCTAAGAGGCGGGTCCCCGCTGTCGCTGGCTGTCACCCACAGCTGTAGGTCTCTCAACTGCTCATAGTCGAAGGAGCGCAGGGTGTACAGAATCCCAGTGTCGGAGTTGATGGACACGTAGGAGGACAGGGGCGCCCCCTGGAGGGTGTCTTCTGCCAGTGAGTAGGAGACTCGGGCGTTCTGGTCCATATCAGGGTCCAGTGCATTCACAGAGAAGATGGAGGCGCCCCTGGGGTTGTTTTCAAGGACATAGACTGAGTAGGATGAGTGGGGGAAGGTGGGCGGGTTGTCGTTGGTGTCTGCCACATTTAGGGAGATGATTGTTTCTGTTGACAGAGGTGGTGTTCCTTTGTCCGTGGCTGTCACAGTAATGTTGTATAAGGATACCTCTTCCCGGTCTAGAGCTGCATTTGTCACTAATCGATAATAATTGCTAACTGTCTTTTCCAATTCAAATGGGAGACTTCTCGGGATGGAACAGGTTACCAGGCCATTCAGGCCAGAGTCTCGATCGAACACTTGAAAAAGAGCGATGACTGTTCCTGGAGGTGCACTTTCAGCAATTGTTCTGCTTCCAGATGTAACAACCACTTCTGGTACATTATCATTGACATCCAAGATAGTTATTAAGACTTTCGCTCTGTCTCGAAGACCTGGCTGATCCCGGGCTTCAACACCCAGCTCATAAAATCTCGATTCCTCATAGTCTAGATTTGCAGAAGTTGAAATTTCTCCAGTCAAAACATTCAAACAGAAAATTTGTGAGATCTTTTCTGTAATCTTCACAAAGTAATAAGTTACTTCCCCGTGGACTCCTTCATCCTGGTCGGTGGCATTTACTGCCAACACTGGTGTGCCTACTGGCAGGTTTTCAGGAACACTTACATGGTAGACAGGCTGAGTAAACACTGGAGCGTTGTCATTCACATCTACAACTGTTACCAGAATTCGGGCAACGCTTGAGCGGACAGGGTCACCGCCATCCATGGCAGTAAGGACCAGGTGGTAAACGGCTTCTCCTTCCCGGTCCAGGGTGCCCTCCAGCACCAGCTCCGGGTACTTGGGCCCATGGCCTTCGCTTTGCACGTCCACTGAGAAGTGACTATTACCACTGAGCTTAAAGCCCTGAAGGGAGTTTATTCCCACATCAGGGTCATAGACCTCCATTAGTGGAAAACGAGAGGATGGAGCTGCATTTTCGAGAATTTTCACTTCCAATTCTTCTTTTAAGAATTGGGGTGTATTGTCATTAATGTCCACTATTTCCACTTCCACGGGATAAAGATTCAGTTTATCCTCGACAAGGATGTTAAAACTCACCAGACACCGCGGGCTCTGAGCACAGAGCTCCTCCCGGTCTATCCTACCCGCGGTGACCAAGCTGCCGCTTCGCGGGTTCAAAGAGAAAAGCTGCGTCCTACCTCTGAAGACGATGCGGACTCCATGCCCCGCCAGCTCCCGGGGCTCCAGTTCCAGGTCTTTGGCGATGTTGCCTACGAAGGAGCCTTTCTCCAGCTCCTCAGGAATAGAGTAGCGGATCTGCGCTGCCGCGGCCCCCCACAGCGTCCCCAGGAGCGTGAGGAGCAGGACCTGCTCGCTGCGCAGCGGACGCCTCTGCAGAGGCGCCATTACTGGCTTATTAGAGACTTCTCTGGGATTAAGAAGAGGAAAAACAGGTCTTCATCACTTTTGCTCTTCTCAGAAATAGCGGTGAAGTTCCTTCAACAAGCAGAGACCGGATGCGAAGCGTTTCAGGTCAGAATTTCCGCACAGCTTTCCTGCTTTCCTGTCTGATTTGCTTTGTGGTTGGAGGATGTAACTCAAGTTTCCGTTGATTTTCTTGCCCGGGTTGGTGAACAGCGACGCTCAGAGTCCTAACTTAATACTGCATCGTTTTGTGAAACTATCATACAGAGGCTTTTATTTCTGCTAAATCTGCATAGATGACACTCATAATATTTCCCTTCCCAAGACAATGAAGCATTTAGAAGAGTGCAAGAGATTATTCTGAATAATTTTAAATGTTCTCTGATGTTTACCATTCATTTTTATGAAAATATCTCTTAGGATCTTGGGGAACAGAAATAATATTACAATCTTCTGTAAATTTTGAATTATCATATTTCACCATCATTTACACTAGTCCCACTTTCAATAAGGGTACCAACAACCACAAACACATTTTTTTGAGACAAACTCTCTCTCTGTCTCCCAGGCTAGAGTGCAGGGGCACAATTATAGATCATTGCAGCCGCAACCTTCTGGGGTCAAGGGATCCTCCCACCTCAGCCTCCCGAGTAGCTGGGACTACAGGCATATGCTACACAAACACATTTTGAACCAATTCACTATAGTACCCAATACAAGAGTTGCCATTTGAGATCCATTATTTCTTTTGATTAGCATAGAAATTAAAAACTGCCCTGACACAGGCAACATCTGTGTATACTTTAAAAAACATGCAAAGGGAAGTAAAAATATTATATATAGGTTACATTAAAAATGCCTTAAGATATACATTATGTTTAATATATTTTAGGATTGACTGCATTAAAGCTAAGTAAACCACTTAATTGTGCAGATTTGTGTCTAATTCTGGATAGATATGTCTGAAAATGACAGTGTGAGACAATACTGTATTAAAAATGTTTCAGATTATAGTGTATTAGGATTAACAAAAATTTCAAGACTATCAAAAGGAGGCTTTCTATGAAAGAACAACTGCCATACAGATATTCTACAGGAAATTCTACAAAGAATTTCCTAGGCACCCTACTCCACACCCAGAAAATCAATAAAATAATGTAATCAGGAAATATTTAATCTGTAAACATTTTATCTCTAAATCAATGAATTGAAATCCAATTATATTTATGGAAGGAAAGGTTTGAAGAAACTCACCTATTGCAAATTGCCTGAATTAGAAGGCATTTTTGGATTGTCATTACTTTCAAACAAAGACGCTTCATCACATAGCAGATCTTGTGGTGCAGCATCTTCAGCCTTTATATTGAGAAATTTAAACTCGGTGTTTGAGGAATGTGAGGCAGCACACAGACTGTAGGAATAAAGCAAAGTCCTTTCACTGTAGTTGGGGAGAACTCCAGGTACAGTCTTGGAGTAGAGACCAGGCTGAAAGTAGCCCTCAGTGGCGGGTCTGGAAGAGCGTCGCAGGGGCGGGGCGATGGCCAGAATCACCGCGAGGAGGAAGAGCACTGAGATCAAGGCCAACGCCACTACTAGGTGAAACTAGTACTGCCTGAAGGTCAGAGGGAGTGGGACGGTCGCTAAGGTCAGGTTGTATCTCTGGCAAGCTATCTGCGAAGATTAGGCGCAGCGTGACGGTGGCTGAAAGAGGCGGCTGTCCTCCATCACAAACAGTGACCAGCAGGCGCTGGCGGGCGGCCTCCCTGTCGCCCAAGGTACGAGCCGTGCGCACCTCACCGGTGCGCAGCCCCAGGCTGAGCAGCTCGGGCTCGCTAGGCTGCTGAATGTGGTAGGACAGCCAGGCGTTGGGTCCCGAGTCTGCGTCCACCGCCACCACCTTGGTCACCAGGTAGCCAGGCTCTGCAGCGCGCGGCACCATATCGAAGAGCGCAGAGCCGTCGGGCCCCAGAGCTGGGTACAGCACCCGCGGTGCATTGTCGTTGCGGTCGCCCACCAACACCCGCAGGCTTACGTTGGCGCTGAGCGCCGGCGAGCCCTGGTCGCGGGCCTGCACCGTGAGCTCAAAGGCGCGCAGCTGCTCGTGGTCGAAGGCTCGCTGCGGGAACACCACCCCGCTCTGCGCGCTCACGGACACGTAGGACGACAGCTCCCGCGGCTCCAGGTCACTGGCCACGATGTAGTAGTAGACAAGGCCGTTAGGTCTCAAGTCGGGATCCGAGGCGCTAACATGCGCAATGGAGGCTCCAGGCGGGTTGTTCTCAGCTACATGCACCGTGTAGGAGGCCTGGTGGAAAACTGGAACGTTGTCGTTGACATCAATGATGTGCAGAGTGATGGTCTTGCTGGAGGAGAGCGGTGGATTGCCTTTGTCGGTAGCTGTGATCGTCACATTGTATTCTGGGATCTGCTCCCGGTCCAGGGCTCCATCTGTCACCAACCTGTATGTGTTTCTGGTATCTTGAACGATTTTAAAGGGAAACTTTCCTTTTAGTTGGCATAGGATTTCTCCATTAAATCCAGAATCTATATCATATGTTTTGATCAGGGCAATAGCAGTCCCCAGCTCAGCATCTTCTTGTATATGTTGGGATTCAGAAGCCAGGGTTATCTCCAGGGCATTGTCATTTTCATCTGAAATATCTATCTGTACTTTACAATATGTAGTGTGATGTCCACCATCCTTTGTTTCCACCCCAATTGTGTAGCTATCACTCTCTTGAAAGTCCAGTTCTCCAACAGTGGTGAGTTCCACCGTTTTACTGTCCAGCTTGAACAATTGTCTCACTGCCTTACCAATACTGATGAAGGCATAGATGATCTCGGCATTAACACCCTCATTCCAAGTCAGTGGCCATCACTTTTAATACCAAGGAGCCAGCGGGCAGGTTCTCTGCAACACCGACCCTGTACATGTCCTGAGTAAATACTGGGGGGTTATCATTTGTGTCTGCGACAATTACCCTGATCTGGGTGGTACAGCTTCTGGAGGGCTCGCCCCCATCCACAGTTGTGAGGACCAGGTGGTGATGCGGCTGCTCTTCCCTGTCCAGGGGTGCTTTCAGTACTAGTTCTGGGTACCTACTGCCATCCAGGTTCTCCTTCTGAATTAAAAAGAAGTGCGGATCAGGGCTGAGGTAGTACTGCTGCAGCGAATTGACACCTACATCAGGATCCTGAGCAGATTCCACGGCAAAGGTGGCTCCAGTGATCGCCAGTTCGCTGATTTCCAGCTCAGTGATATTTTCGCTAACGGTCGGTGGGTTGTCGTTAATATCCTGGATCAGCATGGTTACATGAAAAAAGTTGAAAGGCTTTTCAGCAACCATTTCAAATTCCAGAACACACGTTGACTTCTTGCCACAAATCTCCTCTCGGTCTATACGGTCGCTCACAAATAAGTCCCCATTTTCGGGGCGCACGGTAAAGAATTTCTTCTCTGCAATAACCCGCAGGTTCCGAGTAGGTAAATCCCCTACGCCAAAACCCAGGTCCTTGGCGAGGTTCCCTACCAGGGAGCCTCCTCCGCTATTCCGTCCAGCTCCTCGGGAATAGCGTAGCGGATCGGTTGGGAGAGCCCCTGGCCTAACAAAGAGAGCAGGAAGAGAAACAGCATTCGCCTCCGCTCTGCTGGGCCGCTCCATCCGGAGCTATTTCCCATCCCCCTCTCTGCACCTTTGCCTTTCTAATCCGAGGAGAGGAGATCTTTAAATAATCCCAAGACCTCTCTGAGCAGAACCAACTATTTGTTTTGTCTTGGTGCTTGGGTTCTCTGATGGGTGTCTCCGCTGCAGGAAGCCGGATAGAGAGTACACTTTTCTTCCAAGTTGGCTACGGCGGGAGGAGCCAATACTTTGCACAGCACTAGCCAAGACCGGCACCCGGCGCCTCCGCTGCAGAACCGCAGCAGTGGTGACTAAATCCTCTCCAAATAAGGAGCCAGTTAGGAGAAAAATCGGCAGTGTACTGATAGTGATACTTTCTTCCCATTTTAAAAGAACTTTTAAAAAACATTAAATATATTTACTATATCTTTAGTCTGTTATTTCTTTTAATTTGAGCTTTATCCATCCAAATCAAGTACCTTTTACTTGTCAAAGGGCAGAGATAACCTTGCTCAATCCCGTCATGTTTTTTAATTTCTATTTTCATAAAATGGTCATAATGACATCTTCTCTGCTTACTTTAGTAGAAATGAGGACCAAATAAAATGATACATAGAAAAATCATACGAATGAAAGCTATTTCTGGTGATGGCAGAAGACGCAGTATAAAGATGCTTGAAATATCAGCTTCACGTGTATTGTTATTGCATTCTATTTCCTTTTCTTCTAACTTCTAAAAGTTATAATCTCATAGCTTTTAGTTCCATCCTATGTTTCACTTTCTTCTCTTTTATCTTTATTATTTCCCCCCAAAAGAAGTTACAGGTAATGAGGAAATGATTGACCTTATAAAATAGAAGCATAGCAAGAAGCAAGAGGGTCTCTTTTCCTTTGTTTCCAAGTGTCTACTTTTAATTAAATAAGTATGATTGAAATTTTTTCTTTTTTCTGTAGAGGTGGGGTCTCACTATGTTGCCCAGGCTGGGCGTCAACACCTGGCTTTAAGCAATCCTCCCACCTCAGCCTCCCCAAGTGCTGGGATTATAAGGCATGAACCACCCTGGACCAGATGAAAAACTTTCACAGAAGACGTTTTTTCATACTACATCACAATTGTTCTGAATTGTACTGCTTCTTCTCAAGTAGCCTGACAATGATGTGTTTATTAGGATTGGGGAGTGAATTGTGAGTCCTTATAATTATATTATTTAATTATGTAAGTAATCTTCCTGTCCACTTTCCCTTGGTCCCCAGTTTACCATCTGATCATACCAACCTTTTGTTATTTACACTTTTCCCTGGTCAATAACATGCCATTTTCCATGTTTCTGACAGGTGTCTTATAGTTTTAATTACATTTCCAAACCAGAAAATCTTCTTAAAGAAATTATCTTTAGCCTACATAATGTATTGTTATTCTAAAACCAGGCAGGTGTGCAGCAATAAGCAATGAGTTCCACACTGAATTTACCTTATAGTGGAAAAGCATTATAGCATCTTAAACTAGTCATGATATCCAGAATTCTGGACAGCCACTCATTGTCACCTTTATACAAACATCAAAAACATAACTGACTCAAGACTTTGCTCCAAAACATTCCAAAGCAAGGGCCTTCCCACACAATGCCAAGTGTTCATTGTATGAACACTTCAATTAGTATGAAAAATTATTCTTCAGAACACATATAAAACTAAATACTCAGATATTTAAAAGTATATGGTATATATAGTACGTACATTCAGAATGTATGGATCAAGCATTTTATAAAGTCTGTTAGTAGTTTATAGAGGGTTTAAAGATATTTTTCCATTGCACAAAAAAGTTAACTCAGAGGAAGTGTACCCAAATCTATAACCTTTACTTTTTTTCCAAACACCCTACTCTGAGAAGCATATAACATTTTCTTTAAAAAAAAATGGAAAAGCAAGTTTTCACATAGGAGTGAATGATGTCACACCTATTCTATAGATTCTCTTGTTACTCTTTGAATGCATTCACTATTCAGTGAGTCTGTACATTTTACATTTTGGTCAGAATGTCCGTGTGTGTATGTGTGTGTGTGTGTGTGTGTGTGTGTATAATTGACTGCTCTTTAATAATGTTTAAAAAATAAAAATCAAGTGATCTTAGGTTCTTTAATGTGTCAATTAACCTTTCATGTGGTTGAGTAATGTAGCTTACTATCCCATTTGTAATATTTTATTACCTTTTCCCCTTATTTAGTCATTATTTGAAGCTGATGCTCAAGGTGTTAAAAGTACAAAATTTGAAGGATTAAGAATATTTTAATAAGAAGCATCTGAAAATCATCTTCAGCAAATCAGATGCAGAATGGAAATCTAGTAGTCCTTTCATTACATAACACATCCTCCTGGAATTTGAGGCACTTAGACCAGTATTTCATTAAGGCACATCTATTAATTTAAGATGAACACATCCCTTAGATACGAAATTTAAAATTTTGAACCATCCTTAAATTGAATTCTTTTTTCAAATACAACCTTAGACTCAAGTAATAAAGAAGAATTGCACCTACACTTAAAGAAAAGCTAACATTTCAGTAGGTGCTGATTTTAATAAGTAAAGGGTTTGCCTACAACAGAACATGCCAGGTGTGTGACATATTTACATCTATTGAATGCAGCAGTATGTAACTCTTTGGAGGCTTTACATCACAGAACAAAGCCCAACTTTAAGGTTCCTTTACACTGATTTCTTCTCTCAACAAGCCCACATATCCAATAATTACATGGCTTAACACAAATTTTCCAGACTTTAGAATGCTACATGTTATCATCACTATAAATTTAATCTACTTTTCTGATATTTATGATGCAGAAGTTCTCTGTACCTTTCCACTGATTTATGTAAATACTGTAAATTATTTCCTTAAACAAATTTCAGGTAGACTAAAATATCAATCCTACACATTATCCTTTCCAAAACACGTACACTAACGGTGTCTATGCAGACACTCAAAAGAGAACAATACATATAACAATTTGAATTAATAAAACATCTCTGCTATTAATAGAACTGCAGTTCCAATATAGCAAAATATTTGGGTAAAATGATTATATTTAACCACTTTCCTTTAAAGTATTTGTTTCACTTAAGTCTACAGATATCAGCTAGACTTCCCAAAACAGAATTTGAAAACAAATGGAGAAAGAATGAATTGAAAAAAATTAATCTCCAATAGAGCAAATAATATTCCACTATTTGCATAACTAGCTGATTTTGAATATGACAGATAAATGAAAAAAGAAACAAACAAAAATGTTCTGGTCATCCTTACCGAAAGAGAAAACTAACCTGAACTCGCCGTTCTTCTTTGTTTACATCTACCTTATCAGACATCAGAAGAGGCTCGCTTTTTTCACAGCTCTCTTCACTAAGGAGCGTGTCTGCATAGTTGGGCTGGGGAAAGATCAGGTGACTCTTCCTCGAGTCCGCGGTGAGGGAGACCTCGTGGGAATAGGTCTGCAGGAAAGCCCGAACCCCATCCATGCCCACAAAGTGCGAGGCGGGCACACTCGCCAACCTGCTGCCTTCAGCCTGAAGCAGGCGTGACTTGTGCCAGCGCCTCAGTCTGAGCGCCAGCAGCACAATGACAAAGGCCAAGAAGACGCAGGAGACTGCAGCCACTGCCACCACAAGATAGAATGTGAGATCCAAATCCTCAGGGTCAATGGGGGTCTTCATACTGCCAAGGTCAGCAAGGATGTCAGGGATCCTGTCTGCCACGGCCACTGTGACTGTGACGGTGGCTGACAGAGTGGGCTGGCCATGGTCTTCCACCGCCACTATGAGGCTCTGCTTGAGTGCATCTCTGTCCAGCAGGGTCCGCGCTGTCCGCACTTCGCCTGTGTGCAGCCCAACCGCAAAGAGTCCCGGCTCGCTGGCCTTAAGCAGGCGGTAGGATAGCCAGGCATTCTGGCCTGAATCTTTGTCCACCGCTACCACCTTGGTCACCAGGTAGCCAGGTTCTGCGGAGCGGGGCGCCAGCTCCACGCCCGTGGAACCGTCTGTGGGGAGGGTGGGGTACAGGATCTCGGGCGCATTGTCGTTCTGGTCCAGCACAAACAGGCTCAGTGACACGTTGCTGCTAAGTGGAGGGTTCCCATTGTCGCTGGCTGTCACCCACAACTGTAGGTCTCTCAACTGCTCATAATCGAAGGATCTCAGCGCATACAGGACACCGGTGTCAGAGTTAATGGAGACATAGGAGGACAAGGGCGCCCCCTGAAATGTGTCTTCAGCCAGGGAGTAGGTGACTCGAGCATTGTCGCCGCTGTCGGGGTCATGGGCTGTCACAGAGAAGATAGAGACACCTCTGGGGTTGTTTTCTGGGAGAGAGGTGGAATAGGAGGCTTGAGAGAAATTGGGTGGGTTGTCATTGACGTCTGCTACTTTCAAGGGGATGTGGTTTTCTGCAGAGAGGGTCGGGGTTCCATGGTCAATGACGGTTAAAGTGATATTATAATCTGAAGTCTCTTCTCTGTCCAGGTTTCTAGTTGTTAATAGGTGATAGTAATTATCAACTGACTTCTCCAGTTTAAAAGGCAAGTTCCTAGGAATAAAGCATGCAATCTCACCATTTTCTCCAGAATCACCATCATGTACACTAAACAGCGCGATTACAGTTCCTGGAAGACAGTCTTCAGAGAGGGAACTGGTCAGAGAGGTGAGGATCACTTCGGGGGCATTGTCATTCACGTCCTGTACTGTGACCACCACCTTAGCGCTGGCAAGAAGAGCGCCTCCATCCTGAGCTACCACTTCCATGAGGTAGAATCTGGATTCTTCATAGTCCAGCGGTTGTAGAGTTGAGATTTCCCCCAGGTTGGAATCAAGATGGAAAGTCTCCGAAATTTTGTCTTCCTCATTGCGAAAAGAGTAGGTCAATTTCCCGTTTATTCCCTCATCTGGATCCGTGGCGGTTAGCGTGAGCAGCCGAGTGCCCACAGGTATGTTCTCCGGAACACTCACGCTGTACTCGGATGGCGTGAACAGGGGTGCATTGTCGTTTGCGTCGAGTACTGTAACACGAATGTGCGTGGTGCCGGAGAGTACCGGGTCTCCGCCATCTAAAGCTGTGAGGAGGAGGTCGTGAACAGTCTCTTTCTCGCGGTCTAGGGGCTGTTCCAACACCAGCTCCGGATACTTTTGTCCATCAGTTCCGCTTACCACATCCAGAGAGAAGTGCAGATTGGAGCTGAGCTGGTAACTCCGGAGGGAGTTCACACCCACATCTGCATCCCGCGCGAAGGGAAGCACTAAACGTGTCCCTGCAGCCGCATTTTCATTAACTTTTACTTTTAACTCCTCATCCCGGAAACGCGGAAAGTTATCATTAATATCGATTATTTCTACTTCTACTACATAAATTTTCATTTTGTTCTCAACTAAGATGTTAAAGTTCACCACACACAGCGGGCTCTGAGCGCAGAGCTCCTCCCGGTCTATCCTGCCCGCGGTGACCAAGCTGCCGCTTCGCGGGTTCAGAGCGAAAAGCTGCGTCCTACCTCTGGAGACGATGCGGACTCCGTGCTCCGCCAGCTCCTGGGGCTCCAGCCCAAGGTCCTTGGCGATGTTGCCGACGAAGGAGCCTTTGTCCAGCTCCTCCGGCATCGAGTAGCTGATCTGCCCGGATCCCGGTTGGCACAGCGTCCCCAGGAGCATGAAGGGCAGCAGCAGCTCTCCGCAGGCCCAGCGCCTCGGTGGACTCGCCATTGCCTTCTCTCTGCCCAATTTTCTCTTAGTTCTGGTTCAGCCTGCTGTTTCCTTATTTATCTAAAGCCGATGGGTACATATTCCCCGACGAAAATGGGCGTGGAGTGTTGGCTTTTCGTAGGAACTTGTCTGGTTCGTGTGTTTAGTATGGAGGGAGCAGAGTCGGGTCGCCTCTGCTGCAGCTCCTTTCCCACTTTGGTCAACAGCGACGCTCAGAGTCCTAACCAGTGACTGCACCAAATTCCATTTTTATTTCTCCTAAGTTTAGTTGTAATTTTATTTCTAATAATGTTGCCATATCCTTAATGTTTAACTGTGTAACATTGTCTATGACTGTTAATTCAGCTTTAATTCTGAAATAGCAAGACTTCCACAATTACTGAGATCAATATTATTAGATTCCAATACCTTACAAAAATTTTATTTAATGTGTCACTGGGGGAGCCTATGTCCTTTATTTACCTCTTACCTATGTTTAGTCCTTTAAATTAGGACATTCAAATTCTTACCTTTGTAGAATTCAAGATTTCATCTCTTTATTAGGATGCATTTAGGAAAACGTGCTTATTTGCACATAAGAATGCCAAGGAAACAAACCCAGTTCTCAATGCACCTTTCCAAACAGGACTACTGATTTATGTAAGTTATATTAGCTGTCATATGCAGAAGAAATACAGATCTTTATTACTTGTGAGGACTTTGAGAAAGTTTCTCCACTATCTCAGACAGTGTTAGAGTAGGGTTAACTATGCATTTTTACGTTTTTCTATTATCATGTTCAAATATTTGTAGTTCCAATGACAATCAGTATAGCAACTGTGGAGGGTGGGGTTTTATTTCATCATCTATGCAGGAAAGCATGACCAGATACTTATTGAGCAGTACTGAGTGGCCTTTCTATGTTGAGACAGTTATTTAGTGCTATCATCTTTATATGACAACAGAAATAGAAAAACCTCTTGATTGAAAAAAATGAACATTTCAGAAAGTCATTTTGTTTAATGACACTTTCATAGAAAACTAAGAAAATAAAAATTCTATATAATTAGGAAATTCAAAAGCAAAGATTTGAGTAATATTTGGTAGAAAATGATGTGAACATAGGTTGTAAGATTTTTCGCAATGTGTAATTTTTCTCAAGAGCAATTTGTTAAAATGCATGTTAGAGAATGATTTCTCACATTTGTTAAATGCACTCTTTATAGCAGACACCTCAGACCTCAAACATTGCCTATCCTTTAGAAATATGCTTGTGATTCCAAGACACTTAGCTTACCCAGCGTGGGTCTTCAAGTCAATGGGACAATGTCCTACCCATGCCCTGCAATTAACAAGCCATGCCATTATGTAAAAGTCTTTCATCTTTGGTTCCCAATTTCCAAAAACTACTAAAATGAAGACTCTCTTTACTCTGAAGTACTATGATGCTAAGAGGAAGTAAAACAAAAATTTGAATAACAAAGAGCCTGAAGGTGAAAGTAATTGCCTAAAGTCCCAATCGTAACAAATCTTCAGAGAGAAGCAAAGACGAGGAAGAAAAAGAAATACAGTGCAGTATCTCATGTGATAAAGGTTTGCAATTATTGCTAAATAAATCTCACACTTCAGAGAGAAAACACTTAAAATTAAGTTAAATAAGATTAAGATAATTAAGGCACAACATTTACCAAATCTAACTCACAGACAAAGAAATTGCAATGGAACTTCCTACCCAAATTAGGTGAAACAATAAAACCAGAAGTGAAAATAAATTAATTAAAGCTCACCTTTAAAATAGTATCTGAGGCAAAAGGGACCCCAGCGTCTGCATGATTTGTATTTTGTTCCCAAGAGGCATTGTCACAGAGGAGATCTTGTGAGGGAACCAATTCCGGGGTTACGTTCAGAAAATTAAACTTTGTCTTGGCTGATTGTGAGGCAACACACAGGTTGTAGGAAAAGGGCAATGTTCCCTCACTGTAATTGGGGAGAACCTCAGGTCCAGGCTTGGAGCACTGACTAGACTGAAAGCAGCCCCAAGCGTCTGAACTGGAAGAGCGTCGCAGGCGCAGGGAGATTGCCAGAATTACCGCGAAGAGGAAGAGCACTGAGATCAAGGCCAAGGCCACCACCAGGTAAAACTGCAGTTCCGTCTGGGGGTCAGAGGGCTCAGGGCGGTCGCTAAGGTCTGGCAATACCTCTTGCAGGCTATCCGCGAAGATTAGGTGCAGCGTGGCGGTGGCGGAGAGTGGCGGCTGTCCTCCATCACGCACAGCGACCAGCAGGCGCTGGCGGGCCGCGTCCCTCTCGCCCAAGGCACGCGCTGTGCGCACCTCACCCGTGCGCAGCCCCAGGCTGAAGAGCCCGGGCTCGCTGGCCTGCAGCACGTGGTAGGACAGCCAAGCGTTGTGTCCCGAGTCTGCGTCCACCGCCACCACCTTGGTCACTAGGTAGCCGGGCTCTGCGGCGCGTGGCACCATATCGAAGAGGGCGGAGCCATCGGGCCCCAGCGCGGGGTACAACACCAGTGGCACATTGTCATTGAGGTCGCCCACTAACACGCGCAGGCTCACGTTGGCGCTGAGCGCAGGTGAGCCCTGGTCGGTGGCCTGCAGTGTGAGTTCGAAGGCGCGCAGCTGCTCATGATCGAAGGCGCGCTGCGCGAACACAACCCCGCTCTGCGCGCTCACGGACACGTAGGATAAAATCTTCCGCGGCTCCAGGTCGCTCGCTAGGATGGAGTAGGAAACTTGGCCATTGGGGCCCAAGTCAGGGTCAGAGGCACTGATTTGAGCGATAGAGGCGCCAGGAGGATTGTTCTCTGCCACGTGAACCATGTAGCAAGTCTGTTGGAAAAGTGGGGCATTATCGTTGACGTCGGAGATGTGCAAGGTGACAATTATGCTGGAGGAGAGAGGCGGCTTGCCCCCGTCGGTGGCTGTGATGGTGAGATTGTATTCTGGGATCTCCTCCCGGTCCAGGGCGCCGTCTGTCATTAGTTTGTAATAGTTCTTTGAGGAAGATTTCAAAATAAACTTGGCATTTCCCAACACTTGGCAGTAAACTTCTCCATTTTCTCCAGAGTCTCTGTCTCTCGTTTTTATCAAGGCGATGACTGTTCCTGGTGGCGAATCCTCTGGTAGGGGAGTAAATACTGAAGTCACAATAACTTCAGGTGCACAATCATTCTCATCAAGAATTTCAACTTGGATACTGCAGTGGGCTGCTAGATCTCCAGGATCTTTTGCTTCAATACTCAGAGTGTAACTACTTGCAATCTCAAAATCCAAATCATCCTTTGTCGTGATTTCTCCTGTTTTTTCATTTAAGTTGAAAAAGCGTTTGACTTGTTCGTCCACATTATGAAAGGAGTAGGTGATCTCCGCGTTTATGCCTTCATCCCGGTCAGTGGCCGTCACTTGAAGCACAAAGAAGCCCGGGGGCACGTCCTCCCTCAGGGTGACCCTGTACACATCCTGGCTGAACACCGGAGGGTTATCATTGGCATCCGTGACTTGGATTCGGATTTGGGTCGTGCCGCTTTGAGGTGGGTCTCCGCCATCCACAGCTGTGAGGACCAGTTGATGGAAACTATGCTCTTCTCTGTCCAGAGAATGTTTTAGAATCAGCTCAGGATATTTACGTCCATCTGGAGTCCGTTTCTCAGCGAGATCAAAGTACTCGTTGTCATTAAGGTGGTATCTTTGTAGTGAATTAGGACCAACATCTGAATCCAGAGCTGGGTCAAGTGGAAATGTTGTACCTGGCTTAGTGGATTCGCCAATTTTTAAATGAATCTTACTCTGTTTGAATAGTGGGGTATTATCATTTATATCCTGCACAATTACTGCTATGTGGAAAATATTTAGTGGGTTTTCAGCGACAGTATCGAAATCCAGAACACACAGAGGCTGCTTCCCGCATATCTGCTCTCGGTCTATTTTGTCACCCACAATTAAGTCCCCGCTTTCTGGGTTTACTGTGAAATATTCCTTCTCTGCGCTAACCCGCAGCTTCCGGGCAGGCAAGTCCCGGACGCTGAGCCCCAGATCCTTGGCGAGGTTTCCTACGACAGAGTTTTTGGCCAGCTCCTCTGGAATTGAATAGCGGATCTGGTCTGAGAGAGCCCCGGGGAACAAGGACAACAGGAAGGGCAACAGTACCTGCAGCCACCACACCAGCCCGTACCTCCCTGCGCTCGCCTTCATCTTCTGTCTCCCTCGGGCTCCCTGTGCTCCTTTGCCCATAGGAGGAATAAGCCTTCCGAGGATGGCAGAATCCGGGCTCAGGTCACTTTTCCTGCCTTTGTTTTCTGTTTCCGAATCTACACTGGCCTCCTCTGCGTGGTTGGTTTGTGCAGGAAGTTCCCTTCTAAGAGGCTCCCAAAAGCTTCTCTGGATCTTCTCTTCGTTCTTTTGACCGACAGCGACGCTCAGAGGTTTTCTCAGGAAACTGCACCAACGGCTTGTAAATGTTTGCTAAGAACATTTTTCTTTTCTTCTTCTTCCTTTTTTTTAATTTATAAAGTCTTCATTTGTTTTTAAATATGCGAAATATTCATATAGTTCCAAATTCAAAAGGTGCATTCATCCCTGCTTTAGATGAGGAGAATTGCTTTCACAGGGGAAATGAGTGTTAAGGTTTCTTGGGTATCCTTCTGGAGATATGTTTTACATAGTGCAACGGATTTTTATAAATATTCTGTCTCCTTCTTTACACAAATGTAAGCATACAACATACCATGTTCTTCACATTGCTTTTATATTTGTTATATCTTAAAGATCATATCAGTACACAGAGAGCTTTCCCATTTATTTTTATAGTTATCTAGTGGCCCATAATATAGTTATCTAGTAGTCCATAATATGAATATACAACAATTTGTTTAATCAACATTGTTATTTACTAAAAGAAACTCACTGCCCATTCTAACAAAAACACATTTTTAAAAAAATTTGATTTTAGGTTATAAATTATCTACTGCTTTCCTAGGCCTTTAAAACGTATGGCACTCTCATTCTGGATTATATTCCTAATGCCAACACCTGAATATGCTTGACACAGTTTCAGGCCAATTGAGCATTTCCAAATTATATTTTATGGTTTAATTACTTTAAACAATCTCTCCTCAGATGTGAGTTGTCTCTCAACATTCACTTGTTATTTCTGCTTTCTGCTTACCAACCCAGGTAACTGCATATCATATTCCAGCTTACTCTACATATTGCACCACAACTTTCTATGAATACAAAACCATGTAGAAACTAAAACTCTCCTTTGTAAATCAAATTGAGGCATATTCCACAGTCTATCACTACAACTTCCAGTTATCAAATTACACTAATTTGTGTAAGCATATGCATTCATGAATTTTGAATTAACTCACAGAACTAAATGAAAGCACAAAGAACAAAAGTGTTGTATATCTCCTACACACAAAATATTTTCCCACATATAAAATAATCCCAGAGCCACATGGTGACAGAAATATCTGATAGCAATTTGTAGCAATAGGGATGAGGCCAACTTACTAAGCAGCATAAATCATATCAGTCCAGAACCCAAGTAACTCAACCTTTGAAAGAGGCTTACATGATGAAAAGAGAAAAGACTCCAAAAACTTATATTTTTCCTTAGAAATCAAGAAAGTCTCGCCTTTTCACAAGATGGCACCAAAAGCAAAGAAGGAAGCTCCTGTCCCTCCTAAAGCCAAAGCCAAAGCGAAGGCTTTAAAGGCCAAGAAGGCAGTGTTGAAAGGTGTCCACAGCCACAAAAAAAAGAAGACCCGCACGTCACCCACCTTCCGGTGGCTCAAGACACTGCGACTCCAGAGACAGCCCAAATATCCTCCGAAGAGCGCCCCGAGGAGAAACAAGCTTGACCACTATGCTATCATCAAGTTTCCGCTGACCACTGAGTCTACTATAAAGAAGATAGAAGACAACAACACACTTGTGTTCACTGTGGATGTTAAAGCCAACAAGCAACCTTCTTCACAGGCTGTGAAGAAGCTCTATGACATTGATGTGGTCAAGGTCAACACCCTGATTCGGCCTGATGGAGAGAAAAAGGCATATATTTGACTGGCTCCTGATTATGATGCTTTGGATGTTGCCAACAAAATTGGGATCATCTAAACTGAGTCCAGCTGCCT